ATTGTGGAGAGTCCCATCTTGAAACAGTTTGTTGTTTAGTATCATCATACTAGCAGTAACTTTTATCTAACTCAATGGAATACAGTATAGTTAAGTGTTGGCCATGAGGTTCATCTGTCTTACAGATATAAATCATTAGAAATGTTACATGAGAAAAACTGTTTTATATAAAATGTCATACTGAAACGAAATATTGTTTACTTTTTATTAAATTTAGATGAAGAAATTTATATCTTTGATACTAAAAGATCTTCAACCATATTGACCAAAAACAAATGATTAAATGTCGTTGTTTTTGAAAAAGAAACCATAATAAAAAAAATTCTAACAATATATACAAGAGTAATTTGAGATTTGAATAAGAAAAACAAAATATTTAGTTAAGACATTTATTGATTATATAAATGAATATGAAAGTTGTTATTGTTTTTTGTATTAGAGTTCGGCCAGATTTTCGAATTGGTCATCGTTATCAAAAATTAACTGATAAATGGATAAAATCTTTAACAAAATCTCAATCAATTAGTATGAAAATAATTTAGACTTTTAAATGAATAGTAAAACCATATTTTTTTGTTTAGTTGAGCATGTTGCCGTCTTTGAAAATGATCTTTCTCAATTAATTCAACAATTAAAACGATTTGACTTTCTGGATATTTCTGGTCGAATTGATCGATAAAAAATCGAACCTTATCATTATATGATTAAAAAACGTTTTCCTAATAGTCAATTTGATATAACAATAATAAGATTTCGTCTTTGGTTTTGATCTTTTACATATTATATTCAACAGACATAAAATTTAATCATTGGATAACTATCATTGTTTTATTTCTTATTGTTAAATTAATAATAAAAACGTTTTTTTTTCCTCATTCAATAGCTTTTATTGAATATTTATTTGATTACTTTTGTGAAACGTGCTCAAAAAAAAGTAATCAAGTTAATATATGATTTTGAGGGTGTTGATGTGGACGTGGATCGAATCTATATCCACATCCACACTGTTGTAAAGTTATTTTTCGCTGCTTTTTGTGAAACACGATCTGAAAGCAGTGTTGAAGTGTATAGGGTAGAAATCTTGCACCCCCTCCCTGCCCTCACAGATAGTGACAGAAAAACTGTAGTTGTAAAGCATCAGATAAACGCTTAGCTACCAATGTGTCGCAAAGAAATAGAACAAAACGATTTTCATTTAATTAGTAACAGTAGATCCATCGTGATTCACATTTTTAATCTCGCAAGGGATTGCACTAACAACTATTTTTACGTGTACTGTAATTGTATGCTCTTGGATCAATTACTACATCTAAATATCGCTCATATGCTCAATCTTTTACTTATCACACCTAGTGTATTTGGTATAAATATTAGAGCTAACCAACAACCTATAAGGTAGAAATCAAAAAAAACTTCTATTTTTCCTTACTATTGGGACACCCAATATTTAACTATATGTAGCTATATGTAGAATGTTATGTAGTGCAGTACTTCTCACAATAGAAGATTACACACTGTAAGCTAATCAGACTGACCATATTCAGATTAGATGAACGCTCATATGGACAAACTAATACATTTAGAATATTAAGTACTCATAGAGTACCTAACCGAGATACCTGACATCCGAAGTATTTTTAATTTAATTTTAAAAATAAGGACTTCTAAAATATATTGATGACTAAGTTTTGTTTAAAATTTTGTTTTGTTTTTACACCATAAACTGTTGGAATCTTTCTGACAAATGTTAGATACATTCAATCCCGACTGATTCTAAAGTTATCTTAAAGTATTATAATATAGAACTGGAAAAAGTTACACACAAACATACCAAGTATGCGAATTGAGCAACACATGAGACAAATAAAAAGTAACTATATTTGTGTATCAATTACTATTGTCTGTTTAAAAAAAACAGTGACCGTGACCATTTTTCCGAATAATTTGAGAACAGAAGCAGCTAGCAAGCTCTGATTTTCACCATTTTGTAGTCTTGGTTACTCTATCAATTTCCGTACAAGGCATTAACAAATTAATATTTCTTCGTTGGTTGCCAAATCAATCTTTAAAATGTTCGAATTCCATTATCTTAAGTTCTATAGTGAACCCTATATGGAAAAGTACTAAAATATAGCTTAGTACGGCCTCTACAAGTTTACACAAGGCCGATCTAGACTGTTTGTGTG